AAAAAAAAAAAAAAAAATCAGGAACAAAGCATGCATCAAAAATACAGCCACTGCCAAAACGTAATTTTATTCACAATACTGATCATGCCTGCATGGCTCCCAGTCATTTGTCTGGATGTTCTGACTGCTTTCAACCAATGCACAAGATAATGGCATAGAGAAGATCAGAGCTGATGTCCCAAAGGTTTGATTTATGATGGAGGTAGGGACAAGATGCAAAAAAATTGCATGCAATACTAGTGACAAGTGTTAAGATCATGCTTTTAATTCCTTCTTTGAAAATAATGCATTCATATACAGACAGGCACTTGTAGAATTCATCCTGAAGCTTGAAGAAATCTCATATTTTTGCTTTAGAATTTAAACTTTTTGTACTTACCCTCCAAGGCCAACAACCAGTTTCATAATTAGTATTCTATCCACTTCCTTTCTTCCAACCGTCTAAAACAAGAACAGTCAGTGAACACACCTACTTTGGCAATAATAAAAGCAATTGCTACAAGGGGAAAAAGCAACAAATATAAAATGCCCTTTTATCTTTTTAAACTACCACTGCTACACAGTTATCTTCAGAACTTCCAATGTCTTAACTGAAAAAAAAAATCAGATTACAGTGCATTACATCATATACATCATTTTTGACAACGTTTTTTCCTTTTACTTATTTATATAAGACTCAAACCTACAACTCCTTCCTGCTGCTTAGCTCAATAAGTTTTTGTAAGATCAAGCCCTTAGAAGTAAGCTACAAGAGCAGAGAAATGGGTTACTGTCTTGTTTTATATAGGTAAAACGCCTGAGTTCTTCATTCCTCCCCCCCACACAGACTTATTTTGTAGTACCAGACAGGTCACTTTTTTTGTTCCCCAGTTCTTCCCATTGGTAAAATAAAATTCTGTCTACTCATTTCAAGATCTGTTTCAGCGATTAGTTACCTAGAGACTGATTCATCATGACACTGAGCTGAGACAGTACCTATTAACTTTGTAATTGGAGCTCAACATTTCTGAAAATAAATACATGTTTGGTAAAAGCTTTAAGAATCTCAGACAGCATTATAAATGTTTAAAGGATTAATATTTTCAATTGAGTGAAAAGGCAACATTGCTTTAAGAGGAGGCAGACAGATGTACATGGTGGTTGTCTCGTCTATCCAAATGCAAGTATTTTCAAATAAATATGAGTTCTGGACTTTGTTCTAAAGAATTAACCTTTGTTGCACAAAAAAGCACTAGCTGACAAACTAGGCGACTCTGATACATACTGTGAAGGGCTATGAACTCTCTAATTTACGTCACTGTCCATCTCAAGTGTAATTGTAGCTTAAGAAAAATTCCAGAATAAACAAAAAGAAGAAACAAACAGCTTGTAAAGCCACAGTATTACAGTGGCAGTATTACACCATAGAATTTCAGTATAACAAGGCTCAGTTTGGCTTGTGTAAGTGGGACCAACACTTGTTTATAGGCATATTATAGACCTGTAACAGGTATGTAGAGCTCAAGTCTGCACCTGATCTAGTAATAATTCTACAACATAGTTATGGCCAGATCACATTATCTCTACACAGAGTAGACCAAACTAGTTTAATAAAACAATCAAAGCCGCTTTCGCATGTGTAGATGGCAGCAGTAATGCAATCAGATGCTATGGCCTGAAACAGTAATTTTGATACTTGTGCTACAGTGCACACCACATCAACCACATCTCACTGGAGTCAAATTCTGAAACACTTTGCATTAGAACATTTTTACATGCTAAATTACAAACACACACTGAAAACAGACATAAAAAATACTTTTAAAACATTTAAATTGAATTATAGATCTAAGATTATTTGGGGATGAACTTTGAAGTGGGATGCCAGGTATTGGGAAGGGTAATATATTTTTTGGTTCATCTTTGAAAGCAAAAAGTCTTTACAGTATTTTCTATTTTTTTCCAATAGGATAGTAACAATTTTGGACACACTGCAACACAAAAGTGCTTGGTCTAGATATAGAGTAAACTGAGACGTGTTTCTTCAAATAGCTTGAAGACAAAACACAGCCATATGACCAACTAAATAACACCCCCCCCCTCCTTTTGGACAATGTTAGGTAGCGCTCCTGTACTCTGATGCACAAGGTGGACCCATGTGATTGCATCACTAAACTCAATTAACCCCATGCAGGGGCACATCCATGCATGGCATTTTTCAGGATCATGGACCTATATGGCATCTACGCAAGTGCTGCACATTTAAATAAAGTACCTCCAGTACCAGGGGTCCTGGGGTTTTAAATGCATTCTATACAAATTCTAAAGTAAATTTAGTTAGTAGGGGTTTTCACAAAGGCAATTCTTCTCACACACATATACACACACAAGTGGAGACTGGTGAAAGGCAACAGGCCAGTGGAGATGCTGACATTTAAAGGTATACTCAGAGACAACTTACCACAAGTTGTGAGTCCTGCATGACCCCAAGAACAAGACAGACAATGCTAACCACAGCCAGCCCTGTGGGTACAGTTACATGACATGCTACACTTCATCCGTACTAAGGACACTTAAAGCCTCTGTGCATTGAAGCTTGTTAGCACCCTCAAAGTTACATCACTTCAGAAGAGGATTAACCTTGGACTGTCCTACTTAGATTGTGTCAGAGTAACTCCCATCTGATCCAGAGATAAAATGAGTCCTCCAGCATCCCAGGATGCACTGCTCCTGACCCCCAGCAAGGGATAGAGCCCAGGCTCTTAGGCACACCACTGCTCACCCACCCTCTAGTGACAAATCTGAGCTGTGTAGGCAACCAACAATGTTAACTCTCAACAGGAGACAGCACCTTCTAGCTGTAGCCTGCCTAACATCCCAAAAGTGCCATAGGATCCAAGGGCCAGGCCACCTGGATCAGTGGGTCTCAACTTTTTTTGTACCGGGACTCACTTGTAAGCATCAATGGCCAGCCCTGACCCAGTGCCTCTCACTTTGGACCTGCCGCCCCTTGCCCCCCATTGTGTGGGGCAGGAGGCGGGGTGGTTTGTAGACTGTGGGAGGCCCCAAGCAGCCCCTTCCAGGCTGGAACTCTGCCAGTCTCCAAGGGGAAAACCCAGAGTTTCCTAGGTTTTTCTCCTAGAAAGGAGAACCCATTTTTAAAGTTTGCTTGCAACCCTTTCATATACTCTTGCAACCCACTTTTTTTTTTTGTGGAAGATCGTTCATGTTCTAGGCCAGATCAGTTCTGACTCCTTCTGACTGAGCAAAACTCAAATCGTTTAAACACCACATGTGGTGCTGCAGCCAACATGTATCCTCCACCCCAGACTTCTCAGCTTCAGATACTTTCAAATCCAAATCCATCTGTAGGTGACCTACGTGCAGGCCCAAGCCCAGAGGCTTGGGGTTCAGATGCCCCCCAAGCCTTGCTTGCCCACAGAAGAAAGCTAAGGAGGGGTCCCCCACTTCCATGAAACAGGTGCGTAGCTGAGGTCGCCTGGCTAGGAACTGCCAGTGGGAAACTAATTACAAGGTGTCCTGTCCACAGTGCACGTGGACAAGGGTGCCCCCTCCGCCACACAATGCCTTTTATTTAAGTCCATTTCAGCTCCGATACCGCACCAGTGCAGCAAGTACACTTGACCTTTGCCAACAACGCGTCCCACGGGTTGGGAAACGCCACCCTGGCTGATACCCTCTCGCGAAGGCCGGCAGCTTGCATCAGCCTCCAGGGTCCCGGATCTGGGCAGCGCTGGACACCGGCTCAGCTCCCCCCTCCCCTCCTGCTGCCCACCCGCCAGCCTCTCACGCCCGGCGTGGGTAAGCACCCACCGCTTAACGCGGGGCAGCTCCACCGGGCGCCGGACGGCCTCCCCCGCGATGCCCCACACAGTCCCCAGGGCCCGCCTACAGCCTGGCACAGAGCCACGCACCCGCGCTACGCAAAGGACCCAGCGCCCCCACCCCCATTGTGACGCAGAGCTGCAGAGCTCCGCCCCGTACCCATCTTTATTGAGATGCAGCACCGTTGAGTCCCGTCCCCATTGCGACGCTACTCCTCAGAGCCCTCCCCCAGCTGCGGCCAGAGCCCCAGCACCACCCCCACTCTCTGACGTATCAGAACCTAATCCCGCCCACTGGTGAGGGAAGGAGGGAGAAGAGGAGCAAGGGGGCGCGGCCTCCGTGACCCCCGCCCACCTCGTAGCTATTGACTACGTTCTTCCTCCGCCCCGGCGGGGATTGGCTGTCTCCCTTCCTCTCCGGCTTCCCGGTCCCTGACTGCAGCACCCCCCGGCCACCTGCAGGGGGAGCCGGCGCGTGGGGGCGCTGCGCCTCGCACTTCCTCATTGCAGCCTCCCGCGGGGAGCCCAGCGCCCCGCGCTCCTTCCCGCAGCGCTAGCAGCACCGCCGGGTGGGGCGGCCGAAGCCGCAGCCATGTCCAAGCCGCCGCCGAAACCGGCTAAGCCAGGTAGGGGGAGGGGCAGAGCCGCAATGACACGTGGGCACCCGTGGGAGGGGGATCCCGGCAGCCGTGACCGCTCCGGGGTGACCTCCAGTGTCCCCCCACCTTAATGACACTGGGGTTAAACCGGGGAGCCGCTGCTAAGGCAGCAAGTAACCGTCCCCCTGCAGAAACGAGGGCCGGGTGGGGCTGTGGTGAACTCAGGGGCGGAGGGCAGGAGCTGGCAGTGCCGGGCAGAGCTGCCGCCTCATGCTCCTGCACCCGCTTCAGAGGCTGCAGGTGAAGGTGCAGGAAACCACCCTGCGTTGAGGCCTGGCCGAACAAGTGGCTGCCTGGTGGCTTTGACTTACTGTTTCCTGGAAGGTGGCAGCCAATGTCCTTCTCCCCATTTTACAGGTGGTGAAAATGGAGGCATAGCCCAGGCTGTGGAAGTCAGTGTCTAGGACTCTGATGCTGACATAACGCTGCCCTTCCACAGCTGGAGCTAGGCCTGCTCCCTAACCTAGCCTCTCACGCCACACAAAATGTTACCCAGGAAGAATATAGTGGTAGCACTTTTATGGAAGCTTGAAGGTGGTGCCAGCATTCCCTCTACGCTGCAAAAAAAATTAAAAAATCATACCGTGCACACAGTGGCATACCAGTGAGGTGCCCAGTGCCATAGCAAGAGGGCACCAATGCTCCCCCCACCACCGGCTTGGTGTCTGGCCACTCACCCCCCACCCTAATCTGGCCACAAGCTGCTGTAGGAGGGAGGTGGGGCAGGCACACGGAGGGAACAGTGGTGGCGTGAGTCGTTCTCTTGCTTTACATGTGGCAGGTGAATGGGTTAGGTCTGTGTTGTGGCAAAGTTGAAAGTCGTGTAGAATTTAGATGTTGAACTGTACAGGTTTGGATAGGGATGTTCCTGCCTCAGGCAGTGGGTTGGGCTAGATCAG